ATGGTGCAATATTTTAATTTTTACTTAAAAAATTGGATATTCTGCAGTTCATAACCTACCAACAAATTATTTACATTTACCCTCAAAATAGAAGTGCAGGGGTAAATGTAAATGTTAATTTGGGGGAAATGTAAATACCAATTTAATGGTAATTAGTAAGTAAAAATTTGTAATAATTTCAGAGATGCCACGGACTTACATTAAAAAAAGACCACCACCTTCATATACCCCTGAAGACTTGGATAGGGCTGTAGAAGATATTTTAAATAGAAACAAAACTTATCAACAAGTTGAAAATGACTATGGTATCCCAAAAGCGGTAGTATTTAATAGAATAAAAGGGAGAAAAAATACAATTGACAAATTAGGTTCTGGAAGGACTCAATCACTTAGCGTTGACATCGAACATGATTTAGAAAATTGCATTAGAGCACGAGCGCGAATGGGTATTCCATGCGATAAAGAAAATGTCAAGCAAGTTGTGGCCGAATATGTGCGTGTAAATAATTTAAAAACCCAATTTGTCAACGATAGCCCTGGAGATGATTGGTACTATTCATTTATGAAAAGGCACCCAGAATTATCGGTTAAGAAACCTCCTGATATTCTAGACAGAGCCTTGCCCTTTTCTCCAATCGCTTTCAGTTTTCTTGGATCGTGACAAAACCCACTCTCATCACAATTGAATGCTAGTTGATTCTCAAGTCCATTTTTTTTAAAAGCTGAGCCACCTCGTTGTAAAAATTGTAGATTACAAAGGGATCTCTCTGTAAGAGTAAGAAACTACAAAAGTGTAGGAAAGATTCGAGAGATCCCACACACACACAAACACACACACACACACACACACACACACACACACACACACACACACACACACACACACACATCATCGCGAAAATAGTCAAAACGGATTCAGGGGACCTCAAAACGTAAAAAGCCGTCGAAAAGTCGAGGTAGAAAAAAATCATGATTCCTTATATCTATATACAGATAGGAAAGTAAAAACCACTCCCTACTACAAGTGTAACTCTCCAAAAATTTTGGAAAATAGTTCAGCCCGAATATACTGGGATCGGGGACTTCTAACCGATAGAACAGTACCTCAGAATAGGCCAGATATAACAATTCTTGACAAAGATAATAATAATAATATATAATAATAATCTTTATTCATGTGCAAATTGGTTACAGTAAAGGAATATTAATACATAAAACATTACTAAAATATGTCATAAATTAAAATAATTAACAAAAGTAAAAAAAATACATTGAATAAAGATAGAATACACTTGTGTCGGTTAAGACAATAACATAATAAATACTAATCTAAAATGACTTAAACGGATTTAAAAATTAAAAAATAGTTAAAAATAAGACGATAAGTGGTACCTATGTATCTTATACATTCTCCATTTAGTTTTCGAAGAAATGGTTTATGCCTTCATCGGGATTTTCTATAATAAACTGTCCTAAATTCTTTTTGAATAGGAACTTACTGACTAGTGTTGTAATTTCATGAGGAATCATGTTGTAAAGTTTAGGTGCTAGGTAAGTATATGTTGATTGTGTAATTCTTTTCAACATTAAAGGTGTAACAAAATGATGCCTTTGTCGAGTATTGTAGGTATGTGACGGAAGTTGGGCACTATATTTATTGGTATGTTGTTTATAACAAGATGCAAAAATAAAAAATTGTCTTAAATTTAAAATTTTTGTTTCAACATGAAGCAATTGTGTTGGATACCTAGCGTTTTTTTCAAAAATTAATTTTAAAAATCTACGCTGAATTACTTCAAGCGGATGTATATGCGTTTTTAAAGCTCCTCCCTAAGCTGTAATCGCATACCGAAGATGGCTTTCAACAAGTGAGAAATATAATAATGTTTTTAGGTGTTTCAGAGGTAACAATGATTTTATAAACCTAAATCTATATAAAATCGTTCTCAGTTTATTTACATTATGTGAAATATGTATATCCCATCTCAGATGAAAATCAATAATAATTCCTAGTGTAAGGTGGGTTTAGGGTTCTGCGTGATTACAGACGGTGATTTGTGGGATTTGGCGGGATGTAGGCGGCAGCCAGGTATTGTGAAGGAAAACGGCACTGAATTGCACTAACTGTGAATTTAATAAGCAATACCGTTACATAATATTACTAACTGAATGACTAACTTAAAAGAACAAAACAATTTGAGAAAACAATGATAAATTAACTTTGGGAAAAAATGTCAGTTAACTTCTGTTGTTCACACCATGACAGTTGTGTCGATTTTCTCTCTCTCCCCCCTAGTTTTCGGTTTTTCCAGTGGGTGGCGCATCTGTACAACACTACTTAGGGACGGCTCGAGGAGTATACACGTTACACTAGATATTTAATTTGTGTTTTAGGTAAAATGGTAAATATTTCAGTGTTAATATTAATTTTTATTTGATTAAAGTGAGGAATACTAGCGAAGTTGCAGCTAAACGATAAGTAATTAGTTTTTTCTACATTAACTGTTAGAAATTTTGATTGTAACCACTTTAGAATAAGAGTAAAATCCTGCTCCACTTTATTTTTCAAAGAATACCAGTCTTCATCATCGTAGTAGATGGTCGTGTCATCCGCAAATCCTATAATGTTACCTTTGGTTTCTAATGAAAACAACTCGTTAATATAAATATTAAAGAGCGTAGGTCCTAGTACCGACCCCTGGGGTACACCAAATTCTATTTGTTTTGGCACACTGAGCGCATCACCTATTCTTACAATCTGGAATCGGTTGCTTAAATAACTTTCGAATAAATTTAGGGTATTTATTCTAATTCCGGTATCTTGCAAGGATTGTAAAAGAAGTTGATGGCTTACGCTGTCAAATGCCTTTGACAAATCTATAAATATACACAAACTTGGACGGGTAGAATTTAAAGATTCTGTAATTTTAGATGTTAGTGTTAATATATCATCTTCAGTTGATCTTTGTTTTCGGAAACCATACTGATTATTGGAAAGGATTTTATATTTATTTAAATAGATATCTAATCGTTTTTTTATAAGTTTTTCAAAAATTTTGGATAAATTTGTTACTAATGATATCGGTCGATAATTAGAGGGTTCAGTAACATCTCCTTTTTTATATAACGGAGTAACAACCGAATATTTAAAAGGGTCTGGGTAAACACCATCAACTATACTTTTGTTCAATATGTATTTGAGTGGTTCCATTATGTAAGGTGTCACTTTTTTAATCACTTCACCCTTCAAATTATCTAAACCGACCCCTTTTTTATTTTTTAATTTACTAATAGCAAGTTTTACTTCAGATATATCGATGGGCTCGAAAACAAATGAATTTGAGAGAGTATGTTTTTTAGGGTTGAAGTTTGGATCTTGTTTTATAGAATTTGCCAATTTTTTTCCAGTGTCGACGAAAATATTATTAAATTCATTAGCTATATCAATAGTTTTAGTTAATATTTCCCCTGAACTTGCTTTCTTAAGTTTTTCTATAGGATGTTTATTTTGTTTTGTTTTACCTATTTCTTTAATGACTTCCCAAAGATTTTTTGAACTATTTTTATTACCATCGATTTTTTTACTGTAGAAATTACATTTGGTTTTTTTTATTAAAGCATGATTTTTATTTCTTATTTTTTTATAATTTTTATACAATTCTTCATTATGGGGTTGTTTTTGAACTTCTCTATGTTATTTTTTTTCAATGATTGCTTTTAATAAATTATTAGTTACTCAAGGTGCCATTTTATCATTTTTTCTTCGAAATTTACGTTTTTCTGTACACTCTCCAATGAAATTTTTTAGTATTTTTATGAAGTTATCGGTTGCAGTGTCCGCATTCATTGAATTAAATACGAAATCCCAGGATATGCCTTGAAAAATATTATCAATTTTTTTGTTTATTAATGAATTCAATAAATTAAGGATGTGACCCGTGATTTTTTTCTGATTATCAAATACGATTTGAAGAACCGTGGAGAAATGGTCAGTAATTCTAGTTTTTAATACAATGGGAATTATATTATCATAAATATTATTATTATTATTAGCCTTAAGAAAAATATGGTCTATACAAGTTCTACTATTTCCAGAAACTCTTGTAGCTGTATTTATCGTAAAATAGTAACCATGTTCGTTTAATATATTCAAGTAATCTGCTGTGGTGTTATCATTAGGTTTCAAAAGATCGATGTTTATATCACCCAAAAAAATACAATTGTCGTCTGCCCTATTTTGAAGTTGATTTAAAAAATTAGACAAGCCAGTGTTAAAGTCTTGTAAATTGGTATTTGCTGACCTATAAAATGCAGTAATTAAAATAGTTTTTTTATTTTCTAGAAATATCCTAATATTAATATTATTAAATATATGTACAGTGAAATATTCAAATTTTAAATCCGCTTTAATATATGCCACAACTCCGTCATTTTGATTATAGCAACTTATGTTATACCCCTGAATATTTAACAAATTTTCATCTGTTACATATCTAGTTTCATTAAGAATAAGACAGTCCAGATTACAATTTAAATTTTGAAGAAAGATCTTAAATTCTTTAAAATTTTTGTTGATACTCCTTATGTTAGTCTGTAAAATTTTAAAGTTATAAATATTTTTGCCAACATTTATAATCTCTGAACATTCATGTGATGTATCTATATCGTATGTTTCAATTGAATTTATTTGAAAATCACGTAAAAGTATTGATCCATTCCAATCTTCGAAAATTAAATTATTAATGAGTGTAGTGATTTATAACAAGTTACAATAATTAACAATTAAATTAAAATCAAGAATTAAATAGTATGTTCAGTTAATGATAAAAGCAATCGATTTTATAAAAATAATAGGACGTTTTACAATATATTTAAGTTGTCTGTAAAGTAGTGAAATGAGAACAAAAACAAGAAATACCTACATTAACAGATAAAATCAAGATAAAAATAAAATAATTAATATAGCGACATCCAATAAAGATATAAAATGTATTAGTATGAGGGCTTGATTCGACAATAATTTATTTTAAAATATCGGAATTTGAGTTGTGTCTAGTCTTATATTTTTCTCTTACAAATTGTCCAGTAGATACTTTATTATTCTGCTTTATTAAGACTTTACCTTCTTTTGTCTTATCCTCTTCTTTTTTATTACCAGCTTCTTCAGATTTCTGTTGTGTTTTTTTGCGAATGGGTGTCTCTATGTTAGAATGGGGAGTGGATGAAGCACTTTTTGGTTTTTGTTCTTGTGCGATATAATCGTTTTCTTTTAGTTCTTCTATGGTGTATATTTTACTTCCTACATATAGTTTGTTTCCTTTTATATAACTTTTCTTCGTAGATGTACTTCTGCAATGCTGTAAACTTTTCCTTAATATTTTGTTTTCCTCCCTTTCTTTCTGGGTAAGATCTTGAGTAATTGTTAGACCTGTGTTTTTTAATTTATAACAGTTTTGTAGGATTTACTTTTTTTAATCACTGATACAAACTCGATTTTCAAAGGAGCCCCAATAGATTTTCCTAACGAGTAAAGATCACTTACGTTTTCTTCTGCTATCGGAACGCCAAGTTTATCTTTTATCACTTCACAAAAAACAGAAATGCTTCTATCAGATGAAGATGTGTTTACACCGAATAAAATGAAATTGTTCTTTTTACTGGTTTTTTCCAAGTTTTCTATTCTGTCCTTCAATACTTTATTTTCGTTTTCTACTTCATTAATCCAATTTTTCAGTGTTTCAAGTTTAAGTAGGATCCGCATTTCAACTGCTTCAATAGAATGTTTTATTTATTTTTTAGCGTTCTGGATCTCTTCCAAAATCTGTTCTAGGAACTAGTTGTTAGTTGCCATTTTCGATTCGTCTGCCCATGGACTATAAGTATATGCACTGGATTGAAACAAAAACGATATATTGTTACTTTCAGAAGATTTCACGTTTATCTTAACAAATGTAAACTATTTCACATAAACATATTTTAATTTTTTTTATTATTTTTTATGTCATTTGCACTATACCAGTTTAGTTTAACTTTACGGGATCGAGTTAAATACGGGTGTTTACTGTACGACGACTAGCTGTACTGTGATAATAATATTGCGTTCTTGATAGACGTTTCTATTCCAAATACAGGCAAAATCCAAGCACCATATGCTGAAAAAATTAGAAAATATGCCGAATTACATTTGAAGTGAAACAGCTAGGGCAGGTTAAAGCAGTATACATATTGCCTATAATTATATCTGCTACAGGAGCAGTACCACGAAATCTTTATGAAGCACTAAAAAAGTTAGAGGTACCATCATCAATATACATTAAAATGCAGAAGGCAGTAGTTCTTGGTACATGCAACTAGGTCAGAAAATTTCTCGGAGAATAAAAAGAAAAAAACAAGTAAAACTTTTTTTACCTTGGTTCGACACGTAAAGATAGTACCTACCGTTTAAAATACGAGATGTACCAAAAATAATAATAGGAGAGGCTAATTGAGTAACCCAAAAAGATAAGCAGTGACATTAAAATGAAATTCGGCCTTGATAAATGCGCAAAATTGGTAACACACCGTGGAAAGCCTGAAGAGTACAAGAACATCGAAATCGAGAACATTAAATACCTAAATAACCCGAGTTATAAATACCTGGAGTCTGAGCAACAACTTGTAATTAATAAGAAAGAGACCAGAAAACATCTTACACAAACACTCTAAAAAAGAACAAAACAAATACTGCGTACTGAATGAACAGCAAAAAATAAACTTAGAGCAATTAATGCATGGGCAATTTCTACAATTTCATATTCCTATGGCGTGATCGGGTGTCAAATACGGAGTTAGAGGCTCTTAATCGATCGACTCGTGTGCAAGTGACAAAATATTTAATTCAGCATCCAAAAGCTTGTACAGAAAGGGTCTATATTCCACGAAAAATGGGATGCCAGGGACTATTAGATATAAAATTACTTTATCAAAAGCAAATAAATAAACAAAAAAATACTTGCGAGATAAATCCTTAACTTCTACACTTTATCGAGTTGTAACTCAACTGGATAACTACTCTCCAGTTAAACTCAAAGAAGAAAGTTCAGCACTTCCTGATTTCAGCATACTAAAAAGTAAATGGCTGATGAAGCCCCTTCATGGAAAGTATCCAAATCAACTTTTGCAATCAAAAATTGAATCTGAGGGATTTTTGGTGACGATTCAAGACAACGTTATCGCGACACGAAATCATATCCAAATTATCCACGGAGTTTGACTCGATAACGACTTTTGCAGAATGTGTCGTCGCCACTCAGAAACAATAGAGCACATAGTATTGGAATGCACGGTATTATCGCCTTCTGAATACCTTAAGCGCCATAACTTAACGGCCAACTGGCAATTATGTGCAATTTTCAAGAGAAAGCTGAACAATATTTTAAATATGTTCCACTCCCAGTCCTAAAAAGTGATACCATTGTATAAAGAACTATAGTAGGATAATCGCCATGTAAAAGTTATTGGAGGCAATCGCGCCCGACATCTATTGGTACAATCATTGAACTAACGAATTTATTTACTGGTTAGATACGCCCTCTACGTCAGATGTTAGAACTTTATAAGTAACAATTCCGTCAAATTAATTGTCAATATATATAGTTTTTTAGTTATTAAGATTAAATATAATTAAAAATTAGTGATTCTTGTGAAGAATCAATAAATAATAGCATTCCACAAGATATTTGTCTATATTTAAAAATAAACTGAGATTTTAATGAAACTAAAAGCAATCTGATTATCAGCGTAAAAAAGTAAAGCTTTCTCGTAAACCTCCATAACGAATATTTAGAGTACTCGTCTATGAATCGAAAGGTTCCGAGTTCAAACCTACGAGTAGCCACTTTTTTTTATTAATTAATTTTATTTTCTAAATTGGTAAAACTTAAATTAATTTCAAAACATTAATTTTACGTTAATGACATTTAAATCTTCATGCTCAAATTTCGTCTTTTTGCTATGGCCACTCGGGATCATCAAATTATAATAGAATATTATAAGGTCCGGTAATTTTACTTAAATCTTTTGACAATGAAACTAAAAATGTGTGTATCTAAAGGAGAAATATACCGAAAATAACAAGTATTTAAATTTTGCTAATAAATTTGTATTAGGTATGTGTTAAAAGAAAATACATCATTTTGGATTTGAATATACAGTGTCTCGCAAAATGTCTGCAACAAGAAAACACGAAATTAGATTTTTCTTTAATCAATGTAAAAAATTATTAGGTACAGTTCATCAAATTTCTAGAGGCTTTCGACGGCTAGACAGAGAAAGTACTACTGACAGGCATCCAGACGGATTTACGCAATGAAAGTACGCATCAAGTATTTCACTATTTCATTCGGACGTAAATGTCAGATGTAAATTTCGCTAAAACATTTCTTTTATTTTCGTTTGTGTTTTTTGCTCAATACAGTTTAATAGAACCTAAGTATGGAGTTTAATAGCAAATTAAGAGGCCGCGTGATTAACAGTCGCGAAATAATAGCCAATGTTATAGAGTTTATGAGAAGAGAAGGAAACTTTAATTCACCTTCAATACCATTTAAAAATGTAAATGATCGTGTTGCTGCAGCCACAGGAGTATCTAAAAACACTGTTGTCCGCATTTCTGGAGAGAAAAAAAGAATCGATAACCGTGAGATATCGGAATTTTCATCACCAAGAAAAACCATTAAAAAACCAAAAACAGTTAATGATATAGATAAAGCTGCACAAGAATCAAATTTTATTTTTTTATTATTAGATAGCTATTTTTGTTTCTGAGTTGTGTTCATTTACAGGCTCAATTTTTTTCCGTTTCTCCTTTTTGATTTTATATGGGGTTTCAAGTTGTTTTTGACTTATTTTGACGTAAATCACAACACACTTTTTTAATAAAGCAAACAAGTGTTAAGAGGTATATGTACGTGTAAACTACAATTACAAAAAATTGATATGAAACCCATGAAACCACCAACAAAAATGTAAAGCTAGCTTCCGTACTAGAACATGGTATCATTCGTCGAGATAATTTATCGTTTTGTTTAATAGATCAAGAAATGTAAATATTCCCCTGTTATTTTTTATAAAATTATAAGAGAAATAAATTTTTTTCTAAATAGTATAGTTTATTATTTTGTAGAAAAACAAAATTTCGAAAATTTTAGTAATGTTTCAGAAACAACCGTTATTAATAATAGGTACCATTTTCCTTAATAAGGTAGAAATAAAATATAAACTATTTCCACGATTTACAAAGGCCTACAAAAAAATTATAGGTATTTTCCGCTATCCTATAAAATTTATATTTTCTGACTCAATTTTAAAAGGTTGAAGGAATTCCAAAACACCTTTTATGGCATAATAATTATTTTCAACTCTACATACTATCTTTAGCTGCTTTTAAAAACGTTCTAAGAAAGTCCAATCAGATCAATTTAATCCCTTAACTATTCCACACTTTTAAAATTTAATTACCTAAAAATATTAAAAACTATTTAAAATAACTTGTTTAGCAGACTGTACAATAGCTATCTTAGTCACACGTAGCGCGTTCTCTGTCTGGGCGTCGAACACCTCTAGAAATTTGATGAACTGTACCTAACAGGGTTATTCATTATAAATTACCCTTCCTTTATGCCATAATTATTATTGTATAATGTTTACATTGACCAAATTTTGTAAAAATGTCATCAAATGACCATATCAGTGGCGTGCATATTTCACAGGATTTAACATGAATATTTTTTAATAGGGATAGCATACATATATATTTAATTCAATTTTCGGAATGATTTTTATTCTTTCCTGATTAATTAAACGTCAAATATCTTATAAATATTTACACGTTTTCTTCCTCACTGTAAACTACCTATATTTGGATTATTTTATTATCAAACATAATAGTTGTGATTTTAATAACTTTTAATTTAATAATGTTAACTTTTTCATATTTGCATTATCAACGTTAAATTACTCGAGAACAGACGGTATAAGATAGGGTTATCAATAATATACATTTGTGAAATTAGAAAAAAAATATATATATATCCCAGAAATTTAATAACAGAGGGTATCCCATTTAAAAAAGTTTATTTGTGTTGTATTCCGTGTAATCTGAATACGTGTTTTTATGGTATATTTAAAAAAAGTCAGTCATATCCACAAACTTTTATTTAAAGCTTTTTTTGAATATGCAATAGTGGTTATGAAAGGTCTTTAATAATGAATAATTTTATACATAATCTCAAATAAATTTGTTGAAATTAATTTCATTTGTGAAAATGTCACCTCTGCTTCTCCCGTATTGCTAAAAAAAAAAACTTGTGTCCAGGTCTGGGATTTGATGGTGGTAAATATTAATTCTAAATATACATTTTTCAAGTAACATTGTCCTCCTGTTTTTAGAAATAAAGGTTACTGCTTAGCCAAATTCACACACAGTATGTTTATATAATATTAAAAAGTTCCCCTACCAAATATTTTGGCTCAATCAAAGTAGATATCTTAAATTGATTATTGTTAGAAAAAGTAGAAATAATATTAAATATAATAAAGGAATTAAAAAAATAATTTAAAATTAGTTTAAGTTATATTATTTAAAGAAAAAAATGTTTAGCTTGGAATTAATTGAAACAGTAAAGAACCACCTGAGAATAATCACTTCAATCTACCTATAACAAGAATTATTCATAAAAATTACTTATATTTTCCACACCTAATCAACAGGATTATTGAAAATACCAACAAAAATAATCCGGTTGGGGTTCGGCTCTGGGGGCTAGGGCATTTAGGGTCGAGATATTGAGACCAA